TAATGACATAGCATGTATATGAAAATAATGTGTGAAATTGCATGGTATGTAAAAACATGCATTTTATGTGCTGAGTAAACACCTGAGATCTCTGTTTTGCCAGAGAAATCTTGGTTAAGTGAAATACTTGATCTGAGTACAGGACATTCTGTTTTCTTCTTCAAATGTCAAAATCCCCATATCTTTCTAAAGATTCAGGAACATATTAAAACTACTCTCACAAGCTGATAAGACAGTCCAATACACAACACCTGAAATGACAGCAGAGTCGTGCTGCCTGTGGGCCAAAGTTTTGTTATCAAGAGTATCATCACATATGTCTACAGAACAAGTTGTTCTAGAAAGTGTTCTGAATATTTGTTTTACCATTTATTCCTGATTAATTCATTAAATTGTTTGAAAGATATTTTTTATATGTCAAAAAGCTATTATTAATAAAAGTAACATTGCTGTTCACTGATTTTAGGTGTCATTAAATTGGCTGCCACTCAACAACTCTTAAGTACAAAAGATGGTTCAATCCTGCATCATCTCCACAACCTCTGCTATGTTTTGGCCTGATGTTGTATCCTGAACCTTTATGAAGCCTGCTCTACTTCCCGAAAGCCTAACTCATTCTGACAACATTCCTAAACCAAATGAGATAAGTCTGGCCCTCTTTTCCTCCAAAGAGTATTGTGGTTGCACTTTTCCTAAGAGAGCTATCTTGGTACTTTTGACAGTCCAAAGATTATTCTTTCTCAACACTACAATTCAAAGGCATCAATTGTTCTGTCTATCTTTATTCACTGTCCAACTTGCAAATGTATAGAAGGGACTGAAAAAATCATGACTTGGACCAAGTGTGCCTTAGTCTTAAAAATAATTGCTTTAAAAAGAAAAGTTATCAGCCATGTTAAATGTATTGGGATTCACAATGTGATGATCACTGGAGTAAGTCTGACAAATATCCAATAGCATGAGAAGGGAATAAGTAAAAGTTACGGCAATAAATTGTCAATGACATAGCCTAAAGGATAACTTGTAATTAAAGAGTTCCTAATACTTCATATATTTATTCACTTAAATGTCTCAACATATGATTAATGATCAGTGAAATTTCCTCACCACACATGTTGTTGTTGTTATGTGCCATTGAGTCGCTTGCGACTCATAGCAACCCTATGCACAACAGCCTTAAACTCCGCTCTGTCCTGTGCCAATCACACTGTCTCCGATACAGCCCTCCCGATTACCCCAGTCACTCAATCAATCCACCTCATAGAGGGCCTTCCCCTCCAGCGCCGTCTCGACCCTCCCAAGCATCATGTCCCTCTCCAAAGACTGCTCACTCCTTAAA